AATTGAGTTCAACAGAATATAACTATTTTAGAGAAACAGCACAATAACTTACATTACGATTATTAAATTATAATACTTATATTATGCATTAAAAAAAAATCTTTAAATAAGGGCAAAATTGACTTTTAAAATGAAAGCCCAAAATAACAATGAAATTTATTGTTTTGCATAAACGTAACAATTATAAAAATGTTTATATATATTATGCACACACATCTACAAAAATATTAATAATCAAATTTCAACTTTGTATAAACAAATGTACATATACATGTCTCTAGCTAATAAATGTAAAAATAATCTCTCTTATACAATGTCTAGGAGTAGGAATGTATTCGATAAGAAAATACGTCATGCAGTGCAGATGTACTTAATAAATAGTAGTTACAATATCACCTAGTAATTAGCAAACACCGAAATTAATACATATTTTAAAAAAGAAGGAAGATTATTAATTACGGTACATTAAAAATAAAGGGTAATTTGTTAAACCATATCCATATATGTAATAAAAATCAAATACAATAAAATAGATTGTCCTGCACATACAATTAGTAAAAGCATGATTATGTCAAATATCACATCAAAGAGGTACCCATGATAAACGAGTATTGTACTCCATTAAAATAGAAATTTCCAGATCTGTTCTAGTACAAAGTTGGAAAATACACAATATATGCCCTTTATAAATCCAAATGTATTAAAGCGTATTTTTAGTTGTATAAAATAAAATAAATTTAATTTATTGACTTAGATTTCTCAGTTTACTGCTTGTATTAAGATTTACGTTCTCATTACAGCACACATTGTATTAATTAAATGGAAAATCAAAATGTGCATAATTAAACAAACAAAAGAACTTATTAAACAATGCAGAAACTTTTTAACTTAGTGGTCAAATGTATAATATCAATTAATATTTATAATAATTAAAACAACACCCCCTAATCTATAAGACCACAATTATTAAATTTAACAGTATGACTCTTACAATCGCAAGGCAAAATCAAGATGTATATACAACTTTGTACAAAAAAAATACCTATTTACTAATTGACGTTTCACCATTGATAGCACCACCCTCAAATGTAAAAAATTTTTCAGCAGTAGGTAAAACTTGCCTCCAAATATCAGCCAACTGCAAGCGGAAATTGTAATAATAAATAATAAAATCAAAAGCAAATATTAGTTAATCACGTGGTTTACCGACAAGTTTTCATAACTTTCCTTCAAAGAATATTTCAGATATAGCATGAGTTAATCTCTTAAAAAACTTACACTACCTATTTAGAATATATAATAATACAAAATTTTATGTCTTACGCTATTCACAAATACATTCATATACGAATAATTTCCTTTATGTATTCTAGATCAAAAACTGATATACTCTGTATGTTAATAAACAAATGCACTATTTCATTTTTAAAATTAAAAAACGGTATTGTAAACATACAGTTTGTATTTAAAATAAAACCAAGAAAAAACAAAATACAAAGGTATGAACGTAAAAAGTAACCTTCAGTAGAAAATTAATTTTTTCTTGTAATTCAGTTAATAATAAAAATGTAGCTCATTCCATATTAAGTCTACTTTAAATTATTCAAATAAATGTGTAAAAGTATTATTCCACTGTGTTTCTAGTAATTAAATTCAATACGGAATCAATTGTAAAACGTGCTTATTTACAATCAATTTATTTACAAACTAACAAAACAGATATAGTTGTAGAAATACCTCTGAATTTGACCGAACCCTTAAAGTTATCAAACTGCCAATGATAGGAGATAGCGTGTCAAGATATGCATGTACTAATTGTGTTTCCATATGTACACAGTAAAGACTAAAATCAGATCTCAATTCAATGTTGGTGATTATATTTTCCTGAGTAAGCATTCTCGCCTCTAATTGTTCAACACTTTCAGACTAAAAGAAAGCAAATCAAGAACTAAATAAGTAAATTCTGTAAAAATTTCTGTCATATACTTACATCTGTACCCCTAATGACGCCTTGAATCTTTCTTTTTTTAAGCGTTAGCATTTTTGATAAAGCTAATTGATGATCATGAGCCAAACCTTTTTCCAAACGATCGCATAAATCTCGATGAGCCAAAAGAATGTCGAGCAAGAGTGCTAACCTTTCACATATAGTTATTTGCTCCATCGCAGAATGTTGGTGAATTTTTATAGAAGTTGTTGTCAACTCCCTAAAAATTCCATATTAAATATAAAACAGTCAATGCTAAATTTCTAAAATGTATGTATACATAAATTTTCATTCACTTACTCCATTATCTGTTCCTGCATTGCTAATAAAAGGAAAATATTAAGTCGTTTTCAGTTAAAGCGCTGTTACATCAAAAATTATCAATTATGAAGTGTAAACCAACTTAGTGTTGAGTAAAAAAATGTAAAAGCTATGTAATGGAAATATTTTTATGACCTTAATACCATTTTAAAAAATGTTAATAAAGATAGTACCAAATATTTTTTAATGCCAAATTAAAACTCATTCTAAAATTCAGCAAAAGGTTTCGACATCCTGCATGCAGTTTGACTATCAAAAAAAATTCATATAATACATACTTAGCAATGTAAGTAAAGCCTTTTTGCATTTGGTTCCAATTTCCTGAGTTGATATGTCCTCCTTTCATTGTTGAAAGGTTCTTTAGCTGATTAGCCATCTCTTCCGAATCCCTGGCATCTGAATTTCTTCTCTCAACCTCATTATCTGTAATTTGTTTAAGTCTACTAACTACATGGACCAAATTACGAACTTGCTCACGACTGGATGCAAACTCAGTACAATTCTTTGGAAGTAGTTTCTACAAAAACACAATAGAAAAAGTACATTATACATGCATGCATGCAGCTTTATAGTAGTGATTAGTACTTTATTTGCCTTGAAGTTTTTCTACATTAGTTTAATACATTTAGAACGAGCTGGTTTAAAATGTATATACTAAAGATAAAGTATTCAAAACCAATAGGAACATTATTATCAGTCAGTATATGTATACATGTATAAAGAAAAGAGAAGTGTGAAACAGAAAATTGCCTACCACTAAACATTAAAAATAAATAAACAATCCACTATATTTGTCATGCCAGTTATTCTAAGAAGTATTATTCTCATAAAAAATTACTAATAACAATGAAAGAACATAACCGAGTAATCACGGATAATTTTCCCCTGCAACTATAGATCTCAATTTCTTTATACAAGACTTTAACTAGCAGTTCTCTATATGCAAAATATTAGATCGAAAGGTGTACTTGCTATAAATTAGAAATAAGCATTTTTCGACTGTTAAGCTGGTGCATAAACTTCTACATATATAGGGCATCTAGTAAACACTGAATAACCTATCAACTATGTGAAAGATTACAAGACCATTTAGAAAACTGAATTTTATGTTAATAAGTCCCAGAGATTTCAAGAAATTTAAACTTTTTGGTCTTTTTAACTCTTAAGTTAATCTCTTGAGCACCAGAAATTAAGAATTTTTTAAATTCCTCTTACATAATATATTATGTTATCGTTGTGCTAAAATTATAATTAACACAACTAGGTACTAAAAAATATTATGTAAACAATTCCTCTATTTATGCTCATGGACTGACGGAAACTAAAACATTTGGTAGTTTTACCAAGTGTCCATCCCATTACAAACAACTTTTCAAAATTATTTTCTTCCATTGTTTTATTATTGTTAAGCAATTTCGTTATATCTACAACAGATAATTTGTTTTATTTAAATTAATTAAATTGTTTAGAATAAAAAAATATATTTTAAATTGAGGATAAATCAATTCCAATAAATTTAAGTTGCACAAAAGTATAAAACTGTTAATAATCTCTCATGTATAAGTTGAGACTATTTAATTTTACTTATGTTGTTATAATAGTACCTTAGCATAAGCAGAAATTTCAGAAGTCATAAACTCATCTGGGGCCCTCCTATAAATTTCTCTCATTCGCTGTGCGACATCTGTACCTTTATCTGTTAGAAAAAAGGAAATAATTCCATCATAACAAATTACAGGATGCCTACAAATTAAAGTCAGCCACCTCTGTAAACCACGTCTTCTTAATTCCAAAAATGTTGCATCAGACACAATTCTTTTTGGTGGTAAACGTGGAATCATTCTAAAATAACAATTTAAAATTAAAAATACCTTAACTACATGCCCTAACCCTTTTTTTGTACCTGTATGGGAAGCATCCTAGTAGAGAATCATACAGAGCAACAAAATCTGTGTAACGTCTAGTGACTCTACTATTAAATCTTTTTGAAGAAACAACATACTCATAATACTTAATAAAAATTCCCTTTTTCTCGGGCAGCAGTTCCACACTTACACTATCTAATTGTTTTATTTCAGAGTAAGTAAGGCCAAATGTTGCTGGATTTAACCTTAATGATAATTGTGTTTTTAGTTCTTTTACTGAAGTTAAATCACTCAGAAGAGGAGTCGGATATTCTGAAATGTCAATATTTGTTTATATAATATTGCAGGCATACTTATTAAGTATATTTCCACTATTTATATAATGTGCAAAAAAAAATAGCAGCAAAAATAGTTTCACTACAATTGTACAATTTGTAGATGTAAGAAACTTATAGTAATAATCTTATACCACATTTACAAATACAAACCTAGTGTTGTGGACTTACCTGCACTGGTAAAATTATCAAATAGTTTTTCTGAAGGGCTCTTTCCTTGCTGTGCCCAAGCAACTAATGCTAACCCTTTATACAAATTAGTTCTAGTTACACAGCTGTCGCAGTTTGTTGTTAAATCCCAAATTACATTTAAAGTTGCAGTATTTAAATTAAAAGTTGATAACAAACATTTATATACATCTTTGTGGATTAATTCGCCGTTTATTGAGGAAATATCATAAATTTCGCGGTAAATGGGAGGTATCGCACCTACAAATACAGATAACAAAATATGTTATACAAACACTATCAGCGATTGTTTACGTGCACTTACCAGCACTAAGTTCTGTTGTCATTTTTTGATTCTAATTTAAAATCATAAATTCTATTTGCCATAAACAAATCAAGATATGTGTCAATTTCTAAACTATCTTCTGGTGGAATTTCAATAACGTTACATCTGAAATCATCAAACTTGTTTCTTGTTTCTACACAAAACGACAAAACGTCAACTGGTGGGAGGATTTAACTTTGATTATGATTACATTACCGGATAAAAATAATTTACTAATATACCTAATACCACAGGCTATATTTCATAATACACGTAGATATATTCACCAGCGTGTCTCGTACTTTTTTGAAAACAAATACTATTTTTTTATTTATGCACTACTACGTTAATCAGCTAAACAGGTGTCTATAACCTAAATTTATGTTTTATTAACCTTTTAGACCATTTGTTAACCGTTTCTTTCTTTGACATTCCTTGCATTCAAATGGTTTAGACTCATTAGTTATGTATTTGCTTTATTTACTGTGTTAGAATACAAAAAGTTTGTGACCCAATTTTTTAAATTACGTTACCCACCTAATACGATTCTAATAGCAAGTTAAAAATGTTTTTGTTTAGTGGATAAGCAACACCTAATTGCCAGATAATACACATATATAAAAAAAACAAAAATTCATTAAAAAAAAATTCAATTACGCTAGTTTATATCCAAAGTAAATTACACTGAAACTAGAATGATGGGTCCTGGGGGGGTAAAGCACTCCGGGCAAATTAGTCCGCCATTCGGATGTCCGGGCAAGGACTACCTAGGGGATGTCATCAAGTGCAGTAGGAGAAGGTGCAATACTTTACGATTCAAAGCGTGAAATGATAGGACAATGAGACAAGCTGGTAATTTAGAAAATTTGAAAGTCGGGATGAATATATTAGAATTACGATATAGTGAAGTCGGTTGGCCAGAAGCTGGAGAGAGTTCTGGAGTGAAGACTAGAATAATACATACCTACATAATCAGTAGCAGGAACTTCGGGGGTAGGAATTGTAATGCATAAGAAAGCAGGACAGAGTGTAGAAAGTTATTTTCAAAAAACGATAAGATAGTTATAGTTAAATTAAAAATCCAGGAGCAGATATAGCGATTATAACGTAATATTGAAAACCAATCTTAAATTGAATATTCCGAAAAAGAGGAAAGGTAGGAGCCGCCTTGACATAGAAAAGCTAAAATGTAACGAAACGCCTGATAAGCTAGATACAAATACAGAGAATACTAAAAGAGGCGGGAAAAACGAATGATTAAGCTAAGGTGAAGTAGAAAAAAAAAATAATATAAGAAACGAGGCAGGGGTCATTTTGATGGAAATTGACGAAACGGCAGATAGGTGGAAAGAATACTTAGAGAACCTATACGCAGGTCATGAGTTAGAAGCTAGGTTATCCCATACTGAGAGAAGAGATTGATATAGCATAAAAAAAACTTAAAGAATAATAAGTCGCCAGGTATAGATGGGATACAGGCGGAAATTCTAAAACAAGCAAGACAAGAGGTTAAATACGATCTTTAACCTCTTGTCTTGCTTGTTTAAGCTAGTTAGTCACATTTACGAGACGGGGAAAGTCCCGAAAGATAATAAACGGAACGTGGTAGTAACCATACCCAAAAAGAGAGGCATGGATAAGTGCAAGACATTTAGAACAATTAGCTTGAATTCCCATAAGTCAAAAATCTTAAGTAGAATTATATACAAAGAGGGATGGAAAAAAGAGCGGAGAAAGTATTAGGAGAAGATCAATTTGGGTTTAGAAGAAATAGGAACGCAGGAGTCCATTGTAGCTTTACGGATAACGGTAGAAAAAGGAAAGAGTGCGTACACAGAATTCGTAGATTTCAAAAACAATGTTAAATATACATAAAATATAGAGATAAGATACAGAGATAGAAAAGTGATACTTAATTTGTATAAAGAGCTACAGGCAGTTAAAGAACTAGGGCAGCAATATCAGGTAGCGAGTCAGACAAGGATGCCAACTGTCATCTCTACTTTTTAATCTATATATCGAAGACGCGATCAACATCATTAATAGCAGGATAATTTTAGACAGATATGCAGGGGCAAAAGATTAGTATGCTTAGATTTGCAAGTAGGTACCACATTATGTAATGTTTTAAAAAATTCCATATAAGTGGGGCGGCTTTGAAATGACAAAGCATTACAATTTTGTATCTCGTAAAAGTCAAACATTTTTGATTAAAGAAAGAAATATTTATATACTATATTTTAAATAAGTGCAATAAAATCAAATGTCATTTTCCAGATTGGTGTTTAATAAAAGTTTTTCGAAAGTAGCAAAATATTCGCTAAATAATGAAAAATTGAATATTATTGTAAGGAAAAATTTCAGCACTTTGACCATGCAAACGATCAATAAATCTTCACCTTTATTAAAACCGTCGCTTAATTACTTAAATTCTCAAAAACGACAATTTGGGAACCATGGCCTATTGTGGAATATAGAAAGACTGGTCTATCTTTGCATGGCAGGATCAATACCGTTCGGAATTGCATTTCCTTCTGAAGAGATGGATAATTTAATAGCTGTGTTAACAACCGTTCACCTTCACTGGGGTATGGAAGCCATTGCTATTGACTATGTGCGACGTGTAATATTTGGACCATTAATTCCTAAATTAACAATGATTGGATTGTTTGTATTTTCATGTGTTACGTTATCCCTTCTTTTGGACTATAATCTCAATAACATAGGTATATTAAAATCAATTAGAAGAACATGGGAGATAACAGGAAAATGATATCGACAAAAGAATAAATTTCTTCGTTGTAGTAACATACATGTATACATTTTAATGTAATACCAATTATGCCAAATAAAAAAACTAATCTATAATAAAAGAGAACATGTTGAAGAATTGTTGTATTCTCCTTGTAGCTAAGATATTCTAGCGAGCACGAGTGTGTTTGTGTGCGATCGGGCAGACGTGTGCGTGAACGGCTTATCGATTCACCGATTAGCCGCGGGCGCCTTTCCTTATGTGCGCCGTATTTGTAAATGTGTGTGTGGTGCCTGCGTTCCGGGAAAGCAGTTAAACAGTTCAAGGAAAAAATAAACTAATCCGGATGTTTCGAGAAGGCTCCCGGAGGTAAACAAAAGAGTATTTAAAAGAAGGGACGATCGCCGTGAAAAAAGTAGAAATAAATTGACCGTTGCAGAAGTGAATCCAGAAATAAATTAACAGTGATAGCAGTGAAATAAATAGCGCAGGGAATAGTGATATATCAACAGTAGTGTAAATAAATAGGATAATTCATAACCTAAGTTTAGTAATAATTTAATAGTGTTTTTAAGTTCTTTAATAATTAGTGTAAATAAATAGTTTTTGTCGTTATCAGTCTGAAAAGTAATTTTGTTAAACCCACGAACATTACAGTATATTAAAGTTGCATCAAATAATTTAACGCATAAATCCACCTAAAGTAAAAATTTTTCGTTTAATCTTGGGTATTTGGTCTTGGTCTTGCATATTCGGTCTTGGTTATAGTCTTGGTCTTGTCTTAGTCTTGCTAGTATAAAGATGGTTTCAGTCGTGGTCATAACGGATTTGTCTTTAGACAATAAACGAAGACAGATAGAAAAAATTAACACAAAAGATTTTTAATTTAAAAGTGCGCATCTCTTAATATTTTTGTTGTAGTTGTCTCATTTGGGATAAAAGTTGTAATATTGCTATTTTAAATAGAACGTCCTGCATATTATATACAAGAATGCAAGTATATTTTTTAGTACAATCTAAAACTGCAGTAATGTCAGGTGTTCTATTTAAAATAAGAAATTATTGTCAACTTTAGCCAGGAAGTGGCAATGTTGTCATATAAAAATTAAACTAAAAATCTTTTGTAATTATTCTTTTATTTTGTCTTGTACAACTTATCGAAGAAATCCTCATTAAACTATATACGTGTATTTGTTAGGTTAACATAACACAATCTATACTTTATGGGAGTCAAAAATTAACTATGTACACAAGTTTTAAGTGATGATTTTTTGAATGATTCTAAGATAAACATGGGTTCGCAAATTCTTCATTATTGAAAAGAATTAAATATTTCAATAAACTTTGTAGGTTTTATTGAATTTTTCAGTGTGTACTTATAATATTATCACATTTTTTAGTCCAATTGGATTTGCAGCCCCCTTATGCACTGTATCGCAGTTGCCAGGAGGTCGCTTGACGTAAGAGGGGTTTACCTACTGTTTTCCTTATTACATTATATAATATTCAACACAATGTACTATACATTCAGCACAACTACCCATAAATTAATTTATACCGAAATTAAGATTAAGTTAAACTCTTCCTTGACTTCCTGGAGGAAACTATCTGCTGTACAGGGATACGGTGGTTTGCTCTCTAAGGGAAGATTTCGATACAAGGTTGCAATCGTCAACCAAACGCCCGATCATGATGTACCTAACGATTTCCAAACCATATGGACAATCGGATCACCTCTTCCCCAGGCTTCACGCCAGCTTTCATGACTTCACTTGATTTCCGTCGCTGACTTCACTTCCTCTCTTTATTCCTTGTTTACTTTTGCTCGTTGTAGGACACCACATAGTGTTTGCTTTCGTCGTTGTCACGTGGAACTTTTGAAATTTTATCTCGGCGTACCGTAACAGATGCAACTGAATACGTTTTTTCTACGTTTTGACAGTTACACAGGCCTAATTGTGGGTAAATGAAAAATATAATTTTGGAAATGATGAAAACTATGTGCCAGTCCTCAATATAATGCGTTTTTATTTTCCTGCATGTTTGTTCGTGAATGCACATTTTTTTGTCTTCTTCTTTGTCACATATATAATTCGGTTTGGTGGTGTTTGCACCATCTTGAGTAGCTTTTACGTCGTACAGCTTCCCTACTCTGCGTGTATGCAATATTACATTATCATCTTTATCTAACACTAATACATCTTTTTCGCGGAGTGCCACCTTAAAGCCTTTGTCAGTTATTTACGAGACTAACAGTAAGTTTGTTCTTAGTTCGGGCACACATAATACTTTGTTTAATGTTATTATTTTATCTCCTTTTATATTAATATTTAGCACTACATTTCCAGTTACCAGTTATTTTTTTTAATTTATTTGTAAGAAAATTTAGTGGTTTGTTTATCTCTCTCGTTTTCGAATGTTCCAAATAAGTCTAGCAAGCTGTACAGTAACGATGTTGCCTTTAAATCATCTTCAATGCTTATACTCACTTCTTTCAGACTGTCTACTGCGTCGAAAATTCGTTTAGATGTTTTCGAACTTTATTACCTTCGTTCATATGCAACAATGTTATCTTCTTTAGAAGTGCTGTTTTTCGCGCAGATCCTCGTGGTTAAAATAGTGACTGTGATTTTAATCATACTTCGATGTGTCTTAGTGAATTCATTTTTATTAATTTACTTAACTTTACCCACTACAGGTAACCTCAAATTAATGAGGAAAAATTCTCGACGTGTCTTCATCATCGATTAATCGAAGTTCCGAAGGACTCGTTGCTTGCATAATGTCCGCACATGCTTTGGCGTCATTATTCAAATACAGAATAGCAGTAATAACAGTTTGTAAATATAGTACATAACACGTGTATAGTTCGTCGAGAGTTTCGCTCATCACACCCGCGTAACTTACGACTCAGTACTAGTGGTAAATCGATAAATTCCAATACCAAATCACGAAACCTTGGACCACACACTCACTTGATGCAGTGGAGAGATACGATAGANTTTATATAAAATGGAAGCGGTATTGACAAAACAGTACTGTATGAAAATAAATAAAAGTAAAACAAAAATACTGGTATGCAAGGGAAGGAAAAGTAGAGAAAGAGCAAATATAAAGATAGGAGACGAAAAATTAGAAGAAGTTACCGATTTTAGGTATCTAGGCAGTCAGATAAGTTAGGACGGAAGGAGTAGTAGGGATATAATGCACTCGCCTTCAATAAAAAGAAGTCACTTCTATGCTCGCGAACGGTTAATTTAGAAATTCGAAAAAGGTTGTTAAAGGTGTATGTTTCGGCAAGGCGCTGTACGGGTGCGAAACAAGGACGGTAGGCGCGGCAAGAAAGAAAAGGTTAGAAACGTGCGAAATGTGGTGTTAAAGGCGAATGATGAGGATACCGTGGATAGAGAAGGTTAGAAATGAAGAGGTATTAGAAAGAATAGGAGAGCAGGGGATTCTATGGAAGTCAATAAGAAATAGGCGAGATAGGTTAGTAGGGCACCTTCTCAGGCATGAAGGTCTAGTCAGGGACATATTAGAGGCAGAAGCGGAAGTTAGGAGGGGTTGAGGTAGACCTAGATTAGATTACTGTTCGGAAATAATTAAGGATATGGGTTGTTTTAGTTTTAGGGAAATGCGAAGGTCAGCTCAGGATAGGAAAGAGTGGAGGTTCGTGTCCAACCAGTCTTAGAACTGACGACTTTATGATGATGATAACGACGACCTAAACTTCAGGGTTTAATTTTCGTTTAGCAACCCTGCCTAACTAGAAGCCATTAATTTTCTTTTTAATTGACCTGCATTCCTAACAACAATCATACGCTAGAGCAAAGACAAGTGGAACGACCAAACTGAGCCTTGTATTCAAGTGTGATATAATTCTTAAAAAGGCTAATCTAACTTTTTGTAAAGTTTAAAACAAGCAGGTCAAAACATGCCCTGTTAATATTGAAACATTTAATAACATTTAATTATACGTATGCGCTTTATTTTAATTTATTTTTATTTCTTAGTTAAATAAAATTAAAACAAAATTGCCAAAAAATATAGTTATGAAGATTTTATTATGATATCTGTAATTTATTGAATATCCAATGAATCCTTAACCAGTAAAGTGCCACCATGCAATCGAGTTTTCCCTTGCCATAGGATAGGATTTACCCAATTAACTCTAAATTAGATTATTAGGTAAGGTATATGTTTTTGACATTTCATATATTTAATAAATGGAATTTTTTAATGTACCGAATACTATTTATTAAGAAAAGGCACTTATCAATGTCTTACCAGTTTCATTAAAAATTAACTCATTATCTGTTGAAACCCAAACGGAAGTAAATCCGGAAGTTCCAAAAATAACTTGAAGAGATATATTTAGTAAACTTTGTCCGTTAATGTGAGATAAGTTTTTAAGCGGAATTCCTTTAGAGCCACCTCTTGCTAATATTAATGCAGCCAAATGGTTTTGTTCAAAAAATATTCTACAATAAATAAATACATTACATATCAATTATTCAGTGTTTTAACATACGTTTTTATCGAAATTTTTGAAATAAGTATAACAGCCACTATCATTGACCTCAATTTGATTTATATGGTATATAATAAATAGATTACAAAGATAAAAAAAAAATAGAATTAATAATAAAATAAACTGTAATTGGATAACATTATATTCAACTGCATTACAAGTTTTAAAATAGTCTATATAGTTTCAATCGTTCTCACTTCACAAAGTAGGTAGTGCATTCCAATTTCGACATAACCTTACAAAAGGAGAATGAAAATGATAATTAGTATACCCAGAATCCAGTCAACATTGTGTTAAAACCTTCAGCCTTAATTTCATCATCATTAACAAATCCTTTTAAAATTTTAAATGCATAACAATTGTCATAATAAAGTTTCAGTTGGAATCATACTGTCTGTATTAATTAAAGGCGAATCAAATATTTTGTTAAATACGTACTACTTACTTATCAGTTTGAAAATAGCCATTCATTATCATTTCCCTTTTAGCACCATAAAACATTCCGTTCTCTATAAGTTCACCATCCCAATCCTGTCTACGAGGTCTTCGTTTAGGATCAAAGTTGATAGGAAGTATTCCTTTTCCCGTTTTGTTCCATCGTAACTTGAAAGACCTATTTATTTCATACATTTCCGTTCAGAATTATTACCAATTCCTCTGACCCATGTATGACTTACCTCGTTACAGAGAAAACGCATTCGTAATGCTGCATTTCGTTTACAGCATGTTGTAAATATTTTTCATTAATAAATGGAGACGTTACTTGAATTAGAATAATTTTATCAATTTCAGGATGCAAAAGTAGAAATTCTCGAGTAGCTGACAACGACGTTGCGTGATCTGTTGCTGTTTCCTCAGAACGCCAATGGATATTAATTTTATTACTTATCCTTTCTAAAATAAGCATTTTTCTATCGTAAAACCATTTAAGGTTACTTTATAATATACGTATACTCCTAGAAGAAGCATATTCTACAATTCAGTGTAGACGGAATGCTTACCATCTCATCTAATGTCACACGATCGGGATTACCCTCATATTAGAGATATCAAAAATCTTTAAAACAACTTTTGGGTGTTTCATTCCCACCAGCCAGTACTGCTGGAAGGCAGGCAGTCCCTCTTTTCAGAAATATCGGGAATGGGTAGGTGGTGGTTCGGGTGAGAAAGATGATACGGACGAAATGAAGACAGAAGAGAATGAAAAATTATCTGTAGGATATTACTGCCCCAGCATTTGCCCAAGTGATCCCGGAATCGAACCTGTGTCCTCCCGAAAGCTAAGCAATAGTCTAAACCTCTAGACCATGCCCTCTGTGAGAGATATTACTAAATTTTAAACTTATATATCATTTACATTGATTGGTACCCTTAGAAGGACGTATGACAGCAATTTGAGAAAAACTTGGGAAATTCTAAAACATGCAGGACTAGTGGTTAAAGATCGTATGTTTACGCTAGCTAGTCACATTTACGATACGGGGAAAGTTTCAGAGGATTATAAACAGAACGTGGTAGTAACCATACCTAAAAAGAGAGGCGCAGATAGGTGCGAGACATTTAGAACAATTAGCTTAACTTCCCATGCGTCAAAAATCTGAACTAGAATTGTACAGAGGAGGATGAAAAAAAGGACGGAAGAACTATTAGGGGAAGATCAATTTGGGTTTAAAAGATATAGAGGAACGCGGGAGGCCATTCTAGCTTTACGGGTAACAATACAGAAAACGATAGAAAAAAGAAGGAGGGCGTAAATAAGAAGGATTTGTAGATTTAGAAAATAATGTTAAATGGGACAAGATGTTAAATATACTTAAAAATGTAGGGATGAGTTACAAAGATAGAAGAGTAATACTTACTTTGTATAAAGAACAACAGGCAGTTATAGAGATGGGGCTGCAACGTGGAGAAATAAATATTAGGAAGGGAGTCAGACAGGGATGCACACTGTCACCGCTACTTTTTGATCTATACATCGAAGACGCGATCAACATCATTAAAGACAGTACAATTGTAGGGATAGATATACAGGGGCAAAAGATTAGTATGCGTAGATTTGCAGATGATATAGCAGTATTAGCATCTAGCAAGGAGGAGTTGGAGATAGCTTTAAATAAAATGGAAGTGGTTCTGACAAAACAGCTCTTTCACTTTTATATTTATTTCCTTAATTGACCTTGAATCTAGTTTCAGCCAACATTTCATCGAATGCTTCGAATTTTTGTTTCAATTTTTGTTCCAATTGAATTTTCAAATCCGTTAATTTTCTCGCCATTATTACTAGACTTAGAGATAGCTTTATATAAAATGGAAGCGGTACTAACAAAACAGTACTGTATGAAAATAAATAAAAGTAAAACAAAAATACTGGTATGCAAGGGAAGGAAAAGTAGAGAAAGAGCAAATATAAAGATAGGAGACGAAAAATTAGAAGAAGTTACCGATTTTAGGTATCTAGGCAGTCAGATAAGTTAGGACGGAAGGAGTAGTAGGGATATAATGCACTCGCCTTCAATAAAAAGAAGTCACTTCTATGCTCGCGAACGGTTAATTTAGAAATTCGAAAAAGGTTGTTAAAGGTGTATGTTTCGGCAAGGCGCTGTACGGGTGCGAAACAAGGACGGTAGGCGCGGCAAGAAAGAAAAGGTTAGAAACGTGCGAAATGTGGTGTTAAAGGCGAATGATGAGGATACCGTGGATAGAGAAGGTTAGAAATGAAGAGGTATTAGAAAGAATAGGAGAGCAGGGGATTCTATGGAAGTCAATAAGAAATAGGCGAGATAGGTTAGTAGGGCACCTTCTCAGGCATGAAGGTCTAGTCAGGGACATATTAGAGGCAGAAGCGGAAGTTAGGAGGGGTTGAGGTAGACCTAGATTAGATTACTGTTCGGAAATAATTAAGGATATGGGTTGTTTTAGTTTTAGGGAAATGCGAAGGTCAGCTCAGGATAGGAAAGAGTGGAGGTTCGTGTCCAACCAGTCTTAGAACTGACGACTTTATGATGATGATAACGACGACCTAAACTTCAGGGTTTAATTTTCGTTTAGCAACCCTGCCTAACTAGAAGCCATTAATTTTCTTTTTAATTGACCTGCATTCCTAACAACAATCATACGCTAGAGCAAAGACAAGTGGAACGACCAAACTGAGCCTTGTATTCAAGTGTGATATAATTCTTAAAAAGGCTAATCTAACTTTTTGTAAAGTTTAAAACAAGCAGGTCAAAACATGCCCTGTTAATATTGAAACATTTAATAACATTTAATTATACGTATGCGCTTTATTTTAATTTATTTTTATTTCTTAGTTAAATAAAATTAAAACAAAATTGCCAAAAAATATAGTTATGAAGATTTTATTATGATATCTGTAATTTATTGAATATCCAATGAATCCTTAACCAGTAAAGTGCCACCATGCAATCGAGTTTTCCCTTGCCATAGGATAGGATTTACCCAATTAACTCTAAATTAGATTATTAGGTAAGGTATATGTTTTTGACATTTCATATATTTAATAAATGGAATTTTTTAATGTACCGAATACTATTTATTAAGAAAAGGCACTTATCAATGTCTTACCAGTTTCATTAAAAATTAACTCATTATCTGTTGAAACCCAAACGGAAGTAAATCCGGAAGTTCCAAAAATAACTTGAAGAGATATATTTAGTAAACTTTGTCCGTTAATGTGAGATAAGTTTTTAAGCGGAATTCCTTTAGAGCCACCTCTTGCTAATATTAATGCAGCCAAATGGTTTTGTTCAAAAAATATTCTACAATAAATAAATACATTACATATCAATTATTCAGTGTTTTAACATACGTTTTTATCGAAATTTTTGAAATAAGTATAACAGCCACTATCATTGACCTCAATTTGATTTATATGGTATATAATAAATAGANGAAAAAATAAATTGACCGTTGCAGAAGTGAATTCGGAAGTAAATTGATAGTGATAGTGAAATAAATAGCGCAGGGAATAGTGATATATCAACAGTAGTGTAAATAAATAGGATAATTCATAACCTAAGTTTAGTAATAATTTAATAGTGTTTTTAATTTCTTTAGTAATTAGTGGAAATAAATAGTTTTTGTCGTTATCAGTCTTAGAAGTTAATTTTGTTAAACCCTCGAACATTACAATATAATTTAGTGATTGTACACATGTGAGAATTTAAAACTAGAATTTATTTACTAACGAGCTGATTCTTCGACTATTGTTTAATTAGTATTTCTAAAATCAAATAGTTAGGGTGTCAGAATTTTCCATTTCTACACCATAATGCGTTTCGCATTTCGAACTTCCATGTCTTTATTTATACTAGAGTTACAACGTTTCAACCGTGTTATATATTCGGTTTTCATCAAGTAACTAATACTACGAGGTTTATACAGTTAATTAAGTTATCACTCGGATGTGACGTTCTGCTTTAGTTGGTTGCGAAAATGGATGGGTGATAACTAAAGGCATGTTCGAGTTTGGTTTCGTTGGATTGATGGTATTCTATTAATAATTTTTCGAATTAATTACTTTACTTTTTTATTATTTAAAATGGACTTTTTTGGTCCATAATTAAAACTCACGTCCCTTAGATTAATAGTTCAGTGGGATGTTACTACACCTTTTTGACAAATTTGATACATTTTAAAATGAAGTCACATACTTCAGCCCGTTAAAGAAGAATCCTGAAATAAATCTAAAATTCTAAATCGTTCTTAAACATTGCAAACCTAAAACCTCAAATCAAATACCTTTCAAGGCCCTACACCAATATTTTGGACTTTCTAGATACTTACACCCAATCGCTAAATCCCCTTTCCCTGAACTAACTGGAAACTTGTATTCTATGATTTTAAATTTTGGGCTTATTAATTTGGAGTTTGCAGATTTGGTATGACTCTCAATAGTAAATTTTTACTCTTAAAAGCACTTTTGAATTTTAACGTTTTCTTATTTTCAATTTTCCTATACCTTCCACATCTAATAGAACAATTTCTTCGATAATAATTAATTTTGAGCAGGAAATGATCTTGAAATTTGATATCAAGATCATCAGTAGTACGTTCATGAGCAATGTTTTGCTCTCCCGCATAAATTATTTTTAAAGGTTATTGTTTAAAAATATTTCCAATATAAAAATACCTTTGGAGATAGCTGATGCCGTTTCACTATAATTAATTAATATAATATGTTTTATCTTAATAGAGAGGTTCAGACTAGTAGGTATCATTTTTTCCAATTTGTTATAGGTAATTTTTCATGCATTTTTTGTAATTTGAAGTTTCTTCCTACACCTACATGTAAAACAAAACGAAAACGAGTCAATATTTTCAGTGAATATTAATTTAAATTTAGGCAATGGCATTTAAACAAAAACTGTTCAAGCCAATATCTTCGCCGCATAAATGTACACATATATTACATAAGCAGCTAAAAATACATTTATTATATACTTGCTTGGATAGAAATTACATATTTTGATAAATCAAGGCTATTGTATTATTATTATAATAGGAGAAAATTAAAAAACTGTCTTATTGCAACTCTGTGTTTTTATTATAGCAATCCGACTCACTGCAGAGATGGTTATGTAGCGGTTTTTATACAATTAGTTTTATTTAGCCAATCAGACGGTTATTCCTTAGTTTATGATTGTGAAGCTAACGTGTTGTTACAACTGCCTTATTATGTATAAAAATGACCTTACATACGTTGCGATTAGTTCCACTGCAAATATGAGGTGAAATAGCACCAGCTATTGATTATACTGTACTGATCGTGAAACTAAATAAAAGCCAATAAAAACAGTCTCCGTTTACTATATGTATACCTAATAAGTAGCTATTATTAATTATTTTAGTTACAATGGTTAGGTATTAAAAAACAGATAACTGAAGATTACATATTGTTGACCTATCTTTATAATAAAAAACACAGCAATATCTTTAATTTTCCAGGAGGAAGTTATAGTAATGGGTCTAATTATGTGAATTCCAAATTTTGACATGTCTCCGGGTTTCAAGGTCCGTTTAGTCGGATGCTGCATTTTTTAAGTGGATGTCTCTGTGTGTGTGCTTGTAGGTATGCGCGTATGTACCTTATTATTTTAAGTCTCGATTATCTGGAGAACTAAAAATGATATTGACATTGAACCAATTCCATTCGACTCATAATCACGCAACTTAAAGCTGATTAGGTTTTCAGCAAAATCGGTTTAGCCATTTTTTGTGGAGAATCAAGAAACTTAAAAAAGCAAACCAGCTGAATTTTGCAATTTATAAATTGTATTATAAATTAATGAATAATCCAAATTATTATTGTGTTAGAAATCCTTGTATAAAAAATAAAATTTTGACAAAGCCTTTCGCCCATTCCATGTCGATTTTTATTATTTATTTTATTTCACTTTAACACAGCTATTAATATGATACGAAAACTATATTTCGTATAGTAAACGACAAAACCTAAGCATTTTGGAAATTGACTGGTCAATCCTAGGTTTGATCTATTTATGTAAAGTACATTTTAAGATTAAATTTTAAAATTTACCTTAACACATTATTTATTTCTTTTTTAATAATAATAATTTTTTGTTTCTGTTTCATCTTTATACGTCTTTTAAAGGGAAGTTATGTTTTCGCAAAATCCGTACTTATCAAAGATTTTACACCTGTAGAAAACTTTATGTAAACTGTAAGGAAACTTTTTTTCCCTTTATTTGAAATTGAAAGGTTTAGTCTGTCAAGCCGCATCAGGCGATGTGCAACTTAATAGTTTGAAGTAATGCATTTTTGAAACTACAAAAAAGTTATAAAATACTTTTTTGCCATCATACTAATAAGCAATAAACTTTTTGGTATAGTTTTATGATAGAGCAATATCGAATTCGCCTCTTCTCCGAAATAAACACAGTTCGCGATATAATCAAAGCCATATGAATATCAAATAACCCTAAGGAGAATTTCAT